GCTAAAACAGCTAGTCCGAATGTAAGTTTAAAAACAACCAATGAAAATTACTTTTTAAAAGGTTTGTAACGAAAGGAGTAAGCAGGCCTCACAAGATCCCGGTGATTAAGGGCTGCTAAAGATTTAATTATTATGTGATTATTCAATGTTTTTAAGGATGTAAACAAATGGTCTGGCATGACGACACTTGGTGGTTGCCAACATGTTTCACAGCGATATGTCTGCGGACTTACAACGCTAGAAACCGGGTTTTGATACCCGTGGTGGCCAGAGCACAGATAGCTCATTGTGCTTAATTACAAACAAACATGTTTACAACTTTGAAAGATCGATTATTCTAACTCGCGTATAAATAAATCGAGAAGTAAGTACTTCTTTTACTTTTATATATTTTTGGAGTTGAAGTTAAATTACCACCGGTCTCCTCCTCATTTTTGACTGTGTGCTGCAAACCAATGTGGACCGCATACTTCTGTGTAAGTTCAAATGTAATGAGTACCAGAATCTCAGAAATATACTAAGAGCATTGCAGATGCAAATGTTACAAGTAGCATAATATCACAGAGACAATGAAAACATTGGTTTCAACAATGTGGATATCTGATATGAATTAACTCCTAATTATAAACTTTATTAGCAACGTTTTAACTAAATCTAAATTGTTGGTTTGCCTGTACCTGTTCTAAGAATAATACTGAAGAGATTGTAATGTCAAAATCAGCTTTCTTGACTTGAAAACCACCTATTTTGATAATTTGAGCTTTTTTGTGACTTCGAGAACCCGAGATAATGACGTCTGACCATGGACGTCAGCCATCTTGGACTTTGGTATTCTACATGTATAACAGAGGGCTTCTAGCCTAAAAGTAGCAATTAGGACCCAAAAGAGCTTCACACAAAATTGAGTGCTTTTATCCAATGGGTAACAGTAATGTCGCTAAGACAAATGACTATCGATACGTTACTGATATTCATTGTACTTCAGAAGACACACATGCATATCTGTTCTAAATTATAACATATTCTCCTGTTTCATTTTCTAAGCTGTTTTGCAAATATATTTGAGCTCACTAAAAACGTACTAACCGTTTAATAATTATTAAGCACAAAGCCACACAATGAGATATCTGTACTCTACTCACCACGAGTATCGAAACCCGACTTTTAACATCGCAAGTTTGCAGACCTGCCTCTGAGCCACTGGTGGGGTGGGGAATACATGTATGAGCCGAATATTTATACATGAAGGTATTATTAATCTTAGAATTACGGGTTGAGCTCACGTGGACATTATCGGATTTTTAAAACATTTTTAAGACTGATATATAAACAAGATTACGATACTTATGATATACAACATTGTTTATTGACAAAAAGGGGACATGGATAAACGTTTCGGAATTCTATCAGATTCCATCTTCAGTATCCAAAGCAGAATAAAATGAATTTACATCAGTCTTTATACATTTTCAAAGTGTAATCTTGTTTATAATCAAACTTCGTTTTCCTTCGAACACATCGATTGCTAATATATATATATATATATTATTCATACCCTCGGTGTATAGCACGCAAGCAGATTTTGACATCAAATTTTGGGGTAAAAAGTCCGGCTTATACACCGAAAAATACGGTATTCAACACTTACGCTTTTAAAGTTCAAACTGACTGCGATTTTTTACCTAGTGAAAACATAGCTTCCATTATTACTTAAGTTAGAGCTTTAGTCTGTGCTAAGTTATAGTTACACACACAAGTAAAATTTTAAAAATGAAGACTGTTACATACCAACCTCATTAAATCTCTGACGCATCCTCCTATTGCAACAATGACGGGGGCCTCTGGGAACTGTGCCATTCTTCGTTCAGCGAGAACTTTCAGTTTCATTCAAAGTCAAACTAAAGTATAATTTTGTATTTTACAATCTTATACATATATGTTATAGTTGAATATTTTAATTTGTATCGTGACTTATAGTAATGATGTACTTTAAAGCGTATGTTTTTTAATTTTATCTTCTAAACGAAAATTCAATATAAAATATTGTACGTGGATCAAACACACATAAATTTATATTACCATTGACGATCTCTCAAAGATCAATCATTAAAATACTCGTGATCATTCTGTCTTATCATTCTACACCTCACTTCTAACACACATCACGTGAAAAGAAAAAAATACGGTACACGTAGCGTCATCTATTATTAACGATAAAAATATGAATTAACCTCGTTTAGAACAAAAACTGTTAAGAACAAAAGAAAGTGTATGTAATTGTGGGCATTGGCTTTTAACTGATTATTCATTAAAATTAAATAAGTTGAAAGACGAATGCTGGTAATTTAAAATAGGCGTGAAAAATAGATGGATTATTGTATCATATAAACAAAAGCATAGACTCGCAAAACATTTGTAATTAGTATCTCTATTTCAAGAATTCTTCTTCATATACAGGATTTCTTGAATAATATAAAAGAACTGTTATTCCAGACACCGAAATCTATAAGTCCATTTGTCTTACGCCTTTATTAAGTACGGCTTATATTTGATAAAGAAATAAATTGATAAATTAACACCGTAACTTGTGTAATTTGTTTTTTTTGTTTTTTGTTTTTTGCTTTTATTTACTTAGGAATAATCTTCATCGCACTTAATACTATCAATAGATAAACTTATAATGTTATTCTACGACCTTACATTAGACTTTTTTAAAACTTTGATAAGCTTTTAACATGTTGTACAAAATATTTACTAAAGTATGTTTACAACAGTTGAAATGAAGTACGCGCGCATCATCAGTACAGACAAAATCTGAGTGATATTATAATAAATAAATGGTTGGTCAGCGGTAAGTTTAGGGACTTGAAATGTTAAAATCTGGGGATCGATTCTCCGTGGATATCAAATTATGTTCTTCTTTCTTTAGTTTTTTATTCCCATCAAGATAGGACTTGCTTTTGCAAAAATTAAATTCGGTTATTTGAAAAAGAAACATTTCTGAAC